CTGTTCACATTCGGATTGTAACCTGTAAGATTAACGTTACCTTGGTAAATCTTTGACCAATGTTTGCAGTTGAGATAACAGGTAGTAATGTCTTTCTTGTTGTTTTGTTGAATCGCCTGAAGTAACACCGGGGAAACCTTCCATCTCTGTATCTGAAGGCAACATCAATATGAGCAGATAGTTCTTCTCTTTTTCTTTTAAACTATTTTAAACAGTAGGAATGTATAACCATTTCAAAGATTGCGTAAATATGACGATATTAACCAGTAAACCAAAACCTGTGAGGATAAATAATCCACGAAATTATGTAAATGTTACTTTTAAGATGTGAAGCTAGAGTATGAGCTGAGCTAACAATCACTTTTTGAGTATCTAGTGTTGCCAGATCCTGAGCGACAAACAAGCAACCAGATCTACGAGAACAAGTCCCAAAAATGACCAACCCACCACCGCGCTTATGGTTTCACAATAAAAGATATGAAGTCCACTATTCGACACAAAAAAACAAACATTTTTCGGTGTTTTCACCCACAGACATAAAATGTCTATAAGAGGATTGAGACGATCAGATACATAGGAATGAATGGTTGTTTGTCTCTTTCTGTGGCCCTGAGATGGACTGAAGAACAAGGTTTACCCTGTCCTCGCTCCGTGCCTCCCGCGACCCTGCAAAGGTACAGGATACTGGATGGATGAATTATCTGGAGATATTTTTAAAGTCATCCACCACTCGAGGTGGAGTCATTTCTTATAAGGTGTATATTCCCAGTTTGTGTTTAAGTTAACTCATGTTTCGTTCCTGGCACTGTCTACATTATTGTCACCCTCCCATCGGTAAAATAATCGCCTGTAACATCCTGTTGTTGTTGACGGATCCTAAATGGACCATCTACAACTTTTCGTTAAGTCAAATACGAGTACATCAAAATACCTACATTTCTATCACTACACCCACGTATAATGCAAAAAAAAAACAAAAACCCCACAACCAGTGGATATCACGGTTCTTGAGAAAATTCTAAAATCGCTTATTATCGGCGGACTTGGCCACCGATTGAGGACCCAGGTGGCTTACCGTCTAGATGCCTGTCTGTAAAGAGGTCCCATGGCAGTAACCCAGTGTATTCACAAGGTGGTGCTGTGTAGAGGAGGCTTACTCAGGTGCCGTTCAGTGTAACTACATTTGTTCTAAATGGTATCACACGTTTTACAAAACTAACATTATTTAATTAAAATACATTGCGTGTGGGGTGAGTCACGACGTTCTAGCTCTTTTCCGAATAGATGACAGAAACAGCGCCTATGCTTTTAGAGTGAAATTCCTTATCACAATTTTTTTCAGTAGTTGACTTAAAAACAGTGCAGCTGCTGGCAGCATCAGTGTCTCACTTACAGACCCTGGCAGTGATGCGCGTCTGAAGGTGCCATGAAATAAATAAAAGTCATCAGCGGAGAACAAGTGCGCTGTTGGTCTGTGTGCCTATGGAAACGGGGAAGAAAACGGAGAATTCAAGCACTCGACTGCAATGGCCAAAAACACATCTCTATATTTTCGAATTGTCGAGGGCAGGAATCTCCCGGCCAAGGACGTGTAAGTACAAGTCCTAGCCTGTCAAACATTGGACTGCGCTCTACGGTATGGAACGCTCATTTTAAAGTGTTTTTCACGTGCGTATACAAATTCAACGCAAACACAGTGTTTTTTGGTTGTTTGTTTTGATCATGTGAACATATTACTGTCCAAGTTTATATTAGTTTCTACTAAGATACGGTACATCAATCTGAGCAACACGACATCATTTATCTCATCTCATCATCTGACTTGTAGGTTGCTGCCTTAGCCGACTGTTGTTGTTCTGGTAAAATGCCGTGGTTTCGTACATATGGTTCAACACTGCTTTCTAAATACTGCGGTATTTATTTATTCTAGCGATATTTATGGCAACAGGTTCCTGTCTATTTTCGTTATTCGTGTCCCATCATTTTAGACTAGGGTGTAACCTAGTGTGCACACGCCACATACACCTTATATATACAGATCCTTTCCAAAAAATTAGAATATCGTGAAAAAGTTGTTTAATTTCCATAATTCCATTCAGAAAGTTAAACGTTCATATATTCATGGCCCACAATTTAATCAATTTCAGGTATTTATTTGTTTATTTTTTACATAATTTTGGCTTCCAGCTCATGAAACCCACAAAAACAGGATTTCAATAAATTAGAATACTGTGAATTAGAATACTGTTTTTGCAGAAAATAAATAAAGAAAAAAAGAAATCAATCAAAATATGGTACTTTCAAAATGATATATCAATCATCAATACTTGGTTGGGAATCCCTTTGCCTTAATCACTGCCTTGCTGCGACGTGGCATTGAGGCAATCAGGCTGTGGCATTGCATAGGAGTTATGGAAGCCCACATTTCTTTGATGCTTGCTGTCAGCTCTTCTTTGTTGTGAATACCCCGTAGAGTCTCAATGGGGTTTAGGTCCGGCGAGTTGGCTGGCCAGTCAAGCACTGTGATGCACTGTGGTGCATGAGCATCAAAGCAGGTTTTGGTGCTTCTGGCAGTATGAGCAGGGGCCAGGTCCTGCTGGAAGATGAAATCTGCATCTCCATACAGATCCTCAGCAGAAGGAATCATGAAGTCCTCCAAAACATTCTGGTAGACTGTTGCGGTGACCTTGGATTTAAGAAAGCAGAGTTTACCAACACCTGCACTGGACATTGCACCCCAAATCATGACTGACTGTGGATATTTCACACTGGACCTCAAGCAGCTTGGGTTCTGTTCCTCACCCGTCTTCCTCCAAACCCTTGGACCTTGATTCCCAAATGAAAGGCACACTTTACTTTCATCGGAAAAGAGGACCTTGGACCACTGGCCAACAGTCCAGTCCTTCTTCTCCTTGGCCCAGTTGAGCCGCTTCCTACGTTGGCTCTGGTTCAGAAGTGGCTTGACCCGAGGAACCCGACAGCTGTAGCCCATCTCCCGGATTCGTCTGAATGTGGTGGTTTTTGAAGCTGTGACTCCTGCCTCAGTCCACTCTTTCTGGATCTCTGCCAGATTCTTGAATCTTCTCTGTTTGAGAATCCGCTGAAGCCCACGGTCATCT